CCCAACTAGGGGCTTCTCTGCAAATTATTAAAGTTTAACTTAATGAAATAGAATTAAGGGAGTAAGAGAAGAGATTATGTTCGAAAATCTCTCTCTGAACCCAAGTTACCACCACCTTCTTCTTCTTCTTCTTCTCTCCTCTTGAACTCTGATTTCTGCTACTTTCTTTTGAATTTTTGCAACTTTCTAAACAGTCATTTCTTCTCAAAAGGTTGTTTTTCTTCTCTTCACAATATCAATATTTGATTCTATGTTATATATATATATATAACTTAACATACTAAACAGAAACTATATCCACTAAAGTTGTGAAACCTGGATGGACTGAACAACCGGACCATTTGGCCATAAGTCACTATAAACAGGGTTCAATCAATTATTAATCAGGTGAAAATTTGACTTGACCAAGAAATCTTGGGCTGACATGCATGAGAATGTGGGTTTTGAGCCTTAGAGAGTCTTATAGTAGCCACTTTGTGTAAAAGATGCCATAAGTTAGGTCCATATCAACTCCACCCATCCCAAGACTCTTGATAGCTTGGACTGACATTGGGTAATGGATCACAATAAATACTTTATATATAAATCTGTCCAAGAAAGCTAAATAATATAATGTTGGCTAATGACTAAGGTTTTGAAAAATTCTAATGAATACCTTTATCAAACCTGCCAGACAATGCACATCAATTCCATGTGGTACAATACCCTTGTTTAGCTGGTTGCGAACGAACACTTCCTGGCTATTTTCAGCATTGATTCGGAATATTCCTTCTGCCTTCAAGCACATCATGCATGAGAGGAAACACTATAATGGTATGGGTAACAATTTCAACAGTAACTTTTATCAATTTGTTACCGAAAGAGACATACTTGAAGGCCATTTCCTGAATATAATTGCCTTTGCATCATGAGGAGAACGGTTGGGACACTGTTCCCCCTCTGGTCATGAGAACATTGCATTGACTCAGCTGAAACTCCAAACACACTTGCACTAAACAAAAAGTAGAAAAGATGATCAAGTCTAGGTTGTAGGGTAGTAGGAACAGAGAAAGTAAACAATTCATGACAACAACAATGTCCATAGTCCAGCTGTATGGAAATAGTTAGCTAACCCAAACATGATTGCTCAAGAATAAGTTCAGGCCATTATACCAAACAAAATATTATTAATATTCAAATACCTTTACAAGATCCCTCCATTTCAGAATACACAATCCACATAACATGTAAATAACCTTAAATTTCCTTCTGACTTATCCAAATCCATCTACCTAGAAGGAACAGATATTGACATTTGTAACACCTCCAAAATCTGAAGCATGAAAACATAAGGATTTCTTTTTTTTTTTCCTCATTAGATAATCCACCAAAAGATCCAATAAATTTGAATTTAAAATCCTATTCTTTTGATCAAGCCAGTTCCCAACTTCCTTCTACCACTCCAAAAGACTACTATAGTAATATTGGCACCCTTGCTATGTGATAAAGTTGATGAACTTGAGTTGTCTTTAACTGGAACAATTAGTACTTCTTGTGATAAAAACTTTTGCTCCTGTTACAAAAGAGGAAACGGTTCGATTCAGTGTGAATGATAGGGCCACGGCTTTAACATCCTCCATGAATCAGACTGTTTCCTCTTTTATAACAGGAGCGAAAGTCAGCTCACTTGATTTCATGTTATTTGCCCTGATTACAATTTTACAGAAGGCCCCTCACACGAGGGAACATCGGGAAGGGACTGGTGTAAGGTGGGACATATATGATGGAACAATATTAGGCAGGATGTGGATGTTCAAAAAAGTTTCTTAGGTGAAAAAGGTATGCTCTCTTGAGAAGGAGGATGGGATGGCTTGACCATTGCCACTTGTTCTGTTTTCACATGTTGAACAGAGCGTCATCCACAAATTCACAGTGAATTACTGGCTACTTGACACTTGTGTATGGATTCAACTAACTAAACTATTGTGCAAAAACAGAATGTCATGATGTTCGTGTGCCTCGGAAGAGCCAGGGGTTCGCAGAGTTGTAACAGACATGAGGTTATGAACTACCCAAATACATACTTCAAAAACAGAATCTCTTTATAGCATCAGAAAAATTGCATATTTCCAATAACGATGCTATATATACAGTATCTGAGTAAAAGAGAACATCTTTTTAGCATTATGAAGCTTTGCTCCATTCCAATACTAATATTATATGTAGAGGTAAACGACTAGAAAGTTTTATGGTGATTCATTCAACCAAAATGATTCCACGAGGAATATGGAGGACTTTTCTGAGTTTCCTAACCTCCATTAGTTATTGAACCCAAAATTGTAGCCATGGTCAAAAACGCCTATATGAAGAATCCTTTCAGAAAGCCTACAAATAAACTATTTTGCACAAGCCAAGCATATTGATCAGAGATTCTAATTTGTATTCAAATTTTTATCTCCAGGGACGAACATGTAAGGGAAAACTGCCAAGCATATTAAGTAGAAAAGATTTCTCCTTCAAAAGCACAATATTTATGCTACTGGGGACTCTGGAAGGAACAAACACATATGTACAGAGTAAGAGAGTGAGACCTGGCACTGGGGACTCTGGCAGGAACGTCAGGCTGGAGCTCAACAGGCAAACCGAGAAAGCCGTTATAGCGGTCGAAGGTAACGTGGGAGATATGCCTGACATCGGTGGGCCAGCTAATATCCATAGAACAGATGTCCTCCCTCTCCACGCTGCATGTCACCAACGACCTCCTCAACGCCGCTAGGAGAACTTCCAGAATGGGAAAATGGGGACGCTCATCTCTGGGGACCCCCTCTCTCCCCTCAGGAGGAACTATCAGAGGAGTCGATATTGGATTAGCGAAGTATTCATCGCCATCGTCGTCGTCATCGTCATAATCTTCCACTTGGTCGTCTTCGCTTTCGTCGTCAGTCAGATATAATGAAGGGCTTGTTGAAGTGGAGTCCAGCGCTGATATCCCTCTAAGTCCACAAGACTTGGACCTAAAGAGTTGACTCATAATTACCGGTTCTCGGCTAAAGTAGGATGAGTTTCAAAAAGAGAATGGGCTTAGGGCTTAGTGAAAATGATGAATTTGATGAGGCGAAGAAGAAGAAGAAGAAGAAGAAGAAGAAAGAAAGGAAGGTTGCTTGGGTCGGGAGGGTAAACGAATGGTTCAACGAAGAGGAGGATGGTGGTTTGAGAATCAATACGGAGAGGGTGAGGATGAGGGTGAGGGTGACTGTGACGGTGACATATCCCTTTTATTATTTCTCAGTCTTGTTGGCTTCTGTACAGGAGGATTCAGAGAGAGAGAGAGAGAGAGACAGAGAGGGGGTGCTGGGTAGGGATTAGAAAGAAAGAAATGGAATCGTGGGCTCGTGACAAGGCGGAGACAAGAGCAACACCACAACACAACAACTGCACTACTACGCGAAATACAACGCGGGCTTTCAAAAATAATATAGAATGTTTTTTGTTTGTTTGGGTTGGGAATTGGGACTTGGGATTTTTTTTTTTTTATCTGGTAACATTGGGGCCTTGGAAGGCGATGCGAAGGAAGAAGATATCTTGGTAGGACGTAGGAGTGGGGCTTGATGAAGGACAAGGGGCCGGCCCGGAGCTGGCCCACTCCCAGATTCCAGACTCGGTATATTTTACATTTTAACCGTTATCATCATCCACGAGGCAGAGACATTTCACAAAATAGAATGCGCTGGGGAGGGAAGCTGCTGCCTTCCTGCTTGTCCGTACGGTAGCTTCCCTTGTTTCGGAATTAGAGTTTTGGATTTTAATTGCTCCCCTTCCTACTTCCTAGTCCCTGCCCTCCTTGACTTTTCGGATCTTATTAATTACTCCGTTTTACTTTTACCACCCTCTTGCCTCTTCCATTCATCACACATTCGTACCCCTGCACGGCCTAGTCTTTACATCACTATCAAGCCTTATGTGTGATGTGAGGTTAGGAATTGTCTGATGAGATGATTCTATTAAGTTCAGTAGTATTGGATCATGATCTCAGTTCGCATAGCCAAGGTTTTTTTGTTGGTTTTGATTGGTTCATGAGAGGCACTTCTTACGTGTTAAAGGTGGACGACCATGATGAGAGGCAACTGGGCACCGATGGGAGGGACTCCCGTATGTCGATGATGTAGGCACCTGATGTGCCAATGATGATAGGCAATAGTTGGGCCGGAGAACACCCATGTGCAATGGGCAACGAGGTAGCTCAATCTATTCAGACACGGGACTGGCAAGGTGTAGAGACATGCTTAGGCTAGACCCACGTGCAGAGCTTCCCCACTATGGCGGTGGTGTAGTGTCAGTCCATGCACTGTCCTCATAGGCATGTGTGCGCCCATGAGGAACCCTAGTAGTCATGCTAACCATTAACTAGAGCCACCTTGCAAGAGAAGTTGGTTTAAGAGTGCCAAGGTCAGGCACCCAAGGAGGTCGACCACCCCTCCTCAAAGAGTACGTTAAGCTTTTGGAAATCTACCTGAAGATAACATCAATTCTCCCAAAAATCTTACAGGAAAAAATGACAATGGTGTCTCTTAACGTAAGCCCGCCAAGTGTAGGCAAGACTAAGCCTGTGTCAGACCGTGACAAAATGGCCACATCACATGCTACATCGATTATGAGAATATTTGGTTTCGTTGGCGTTTATTAAAATCCATTGTCACATCAGCATCACATAGGCATTGACACTTATTGGAGATGAAGCAAAATGAAACAATTGTTTGATTTTACCGTTTATCAAATAAATGGTGGAAAATTGAAATGCTTTGATTTTTGTGCATAGGAAATTTGGGAAAACGTCAAATTTTTATTTCCCCAATGCCTCAGTGTTTCTTGAAACCAAATACTGATGTGATATACTTTAATGGGTATTAATCTGAGATGAAGAATAAAAAACGTTTAAAGAAAATTCAACCAAACAACAAAAATAATAAACATTTAAAGTGAAAAAATATAAATAAGCATTTAAAATAAAAAAATACAAATAAATACCCACGAAACCAAACACATACTATATTTAATGCTCCTTCATCTTTTTCTAGTTCCCTTGCCTTGCGTCCAATGGACCAGGCCATGAGGCCCATTATTTTGGCTTATAGGCCAGGTTATAAATCGATCAGCGCTGTGGCTGTAGACGATTTCCGTGGGACACGTGAAGCTAAGCTAACGTCCTAATTTACTGTTTCTGCAGCTGTCCATCCCACCATAAATAATTAAAAGTAAATTAATACTTTCACAATACATGCAGGCGGCAGCATTGTAACTGAGGTGGTCCATATGAAACCCAACAACATCTTCATTCTTCACATAGAGTACTGGTGTTTCATCTTATAAACAAACCATTTTGTATAATTATGGGTGGTATCTTTTATTCTCTCTTTTCACAAAGTGCATTATTTATTATTTCCTCTCTCGGTTATTGTGTTCAAATAAAATGGTCATCATCATCATCATCATATGATCGGACTGACCGGCGCTGGTGGCCTGGTGGGTGTGGGTGATGTTGGACTGGAATTCACCTTCCTCCATCTCCTTCTCTTTGTATCTCCGTTTGTTTTTCTATTTTGTTGAGTAAAAAACATGTGTCGTTAGTTTAATTTAGCTCCGCTGGACCACAGAGAAAGGCAGTTGCATGTGACTTTGACGATCAATCGTCATCTCCCCTTGTTGACACTTCGCTGGCATCTCTGCTTATTGATAGAGTCGCTATCCCAAATCCATTTGTTGGCTGTCTATCTGATTATGATCTTTCTTCCTTCTCTCTTTCTGATCACTTGGAATTTGGAAAACACCCATATACACCTGACTTACAACTCAATATATATATATATATATATATTGTAGTGTTGCTCCCAATACAAAACCAATCCATCAACGTCAACTGACCAATTGTTAGATGTGAGTATATATGAAAATGGTGAACTTTAACCTCCCAACAACTCCTCCTCTTAAGCATCTAAATTAAATTTTTTCTTGCTTTTAAAACATTACTTATATACTGTGTCCATACAAAAAAAAAAAAACCTTGGCTGTGTATGCATGGATAGATTGCTTTGCTTTCAAGGCACTCTTTAGGTGTAAGAGACTCAACCTCACCGGCCACAAGCGCACAAGAGTAGGAGTAGGTGAAATATTATTCTCCAGTAACTGCACAACTATATATCAACCAAGGAAGAATTAATGTTTATATGTATAAATATGTAAATATATATATAAACTCTTTTCAACCTTAATTATATTATATCTAATGTATATTAGCTAGCTGTAATGTCATCAGCTTATCCTAGTGCTTTGGTTGAACCAAACTTGCATGGAATTGTACCACTGTCCATGCACATGCCCCTTTAACCTAGCTAGAACGTTCATGCATCATGATCGATCAGAGTAGTCAACCCAAAAGTTGGTTGGCTTGTCATAGATTGGGGTGGGTTGGTAATTAACCAAACTTTGACATAATATTCTTGGTTGGAAAAACTTAGCAGCTGTTTGGAAACTTCATGAGCATGACACGTTACCCACTTAATTAATTCTTTATATATAATTTGTTTTTTTAATTTATTGCAATTATTCATTTACGTACCCACACCCATGCTAATATGTCGTGCACATGAAGCTTAGAAACAGCACAGATTGATTTTTTCAAACAGCCAAACTTTTCCATTCTAGCCGCCTCAAATTCCAATAAATAATTAAATACATTAATAGATGAGGTTTCTTCTTTTCGGTCTTTGTTTGGCAAAGGGAGATTGGACTGCAATTACTTTCATACAATAGATTTTAATAAATAAATAAAACTGAGGGAATTGAGAAAGAAATATATCAAATTAATGGCGTAGAGAATAAATAATACCATGTATTTTGAACGATGGATGATGTGGGAAATGGAAGTGTTTGTTAAAAAGAATTGAATTTGTTGCAAAAGCGGCGTGCACCTCTATAGTAATTCAACCACGTGGATGAATGATGATGTGAGCTTTGTGTAGACTGTCAATCAGATCAAGTTCAGGATCACGGGCGCATTGGAATTGGATTTGTGTTGGGAATGGGAGCCCAGGTCCACAACTACATGCATGCATGTGCCACAAACACAAATTAAGCAGTGCAGTCATGCAGTGGTGTGTTGTTTTATATATATTCAGTCAATGCCAACCTGGCCGGCCCGTCTAGCAAATTGGCCATTGGAATCTTCCACAAAAAGCAATTTATATATTCATAAGTGGAAGTTTCAAACTTCCATTAATCCATCAACCCGTGACATACTGGAACTTCAATTCAATGACTGGTAGTAGTATATATGTATATATAGTGATCGGAGGAGTACGTACGTGTGATGGTCTGATGATATATGGATATAGGCATATAGCTAGCCTAGATAGATTGATTGTTTTATGTGTACATTACTCGTCCTACCTAGATCCTATGATTCCTATCTCAAGAGTCAAGAGCTTGGAATTAAGAACGACCTGTTTGGTGAGTTCATCTCATCCGAGTGCGTGCTCTATATATATGTATATGATGAGAGGTGTCTGTAGGAAATGGGTGCAATATATCCTCTTTACGTAATCACAGGACCACAGCAGCCTGTATTTTAGGGTTGTCTCTCACAAAGGTGCCATGTGACTTGATGTCGTAGTGGGCTAGATTGATATTGATAGGGTGAGAGTGTAAACTGGTATTTTGAATGAATAACGCGCATAAAAAAAATATTTTATTACTGTATATATAATTATATATATAATAGATACATAGATAGATAGATACAGAGTCCAGAGTCCTATTTACAGAATTATTATTATAATCGCCCATGCTTCTTTCTTGGCTAACACCCCTCTCAATTTAGACGTGGGAAGCAACGCCCAACTTCGATAATAGTTGTTGAAACCGGTCTGTACTGAGAGCTTTTGCAAGAAGATCAGCTGGTTGAAGGGTGCCGGAAATATAAAAGGTCTGAATTTTCTTTTTCTGAATATGTTCGTGTATAAAGTGATAATTAATATCGATGTTTGGATTGGCTGCAATGTATATCATGGCCTTACTATCGCAATGGAGTTGCATAGGACCTAGAAGGGTAATTGTAAGGTCAGCAAGGATTCTCTCAGGGTTTTAAAAAATGAACCTGAAACAAAACCGGTTAGGGGACCGGTTTCCGGTTAAGTGGTTCAACCGTTTGGATCTAACGGTTTGACTCATGACATCATAAATAAATTAAAAATAAAATCTAATAATTATAAATAATAAAAATAGTATAAATTTATATAAAAAATACAAAAAATAAAACTATCTAAATACAAAAATAATATAGTACAAATGAAAATCTGCAAATGAAAAATAATTGAGGAACATTTGCTTCACATTGGTTAGAAGAATCGGTTGATTCTTTGAGGTCCAAGGATCAATCACCATCGCCAACAAAAGTTTCAGATGTAC